GCCCCGGTCTCTGGGAGAGCTGCGGGGGGCCCTCCCCGGACGCCTGGGTCCCATTCCCCGCCCCGGTCTCGGTTCTCCCAGTTCCACACACCCCCCTCCGCTGGGCTACTGGAGAGAGATCAAGAGCCAGGACGCCTGGGTTCCGGCCCTGCCCCCGCGCCCCTCCCCTCCATCCTACCTTCACAATACGCCCCTTGGCCTGCAGCGTCAGCTCTGCGCCCCCGCCACCTGGGGGGAACAGACGTCAGCTGGGCCCCATGGCCCCCGCCACCAGCCCCAAACCCCCCCCACTATCTCCCCCCAGCCCCCACACAGGGGGGACCCTCCACAAAGCCAGCCCCCCCACTGCTCCCCACACAGTCCAACCCCCCCAGCCCCCTGTGCCCCCCAACACAATCCCCCACAGCTCCCCATCCTCCTCCCTCCCAGCCCCCACCCACACACTGCCCCCTGCCCCCCTTACCCTGCTTTGCCGGGGTCCCCCCCATGAGGGGCTGGCGGGCGGTGGGCAGGGGGTCGTGCAGGACAGCGGAGTCACTCCAGCGCCACTGCGGCACCGCGGGGGGGGGCACCAGCAGGAAATAATAGCTGGGGGCAGACAAAGGGGGGGTAAGATACCGGGGGGGGTCTCCCAAAAAGCCTCCCACAGCCCCTCCCCCCTCGCTGGCCCCCCCACGGCCCCTCACCTGAGCAGCATGGCCAGGGGCAGGCTGAGCATGAGCAGTAGGGTGTGACGGGGGCTGAGGCCGGCCTGCGTCAGCCCCAGGTACGACAGCGCCCCCAGCAGGCCGGCGCCCCCCGTGCCCGACGACCAGCACGACACCACCTCGCTGGGGGGAGAAACGCGGGGTGAGATCCCAGCCCCTTGCAGCCCCCCCAGCCCCCCCCCCCCCCCCCCCCCCCCCCCCCCCGGCTCCCCGCGCCCGGTACCTGGGGTAGAAAGCCGTGAGCGCCAGGAAGCTGATCTCCCCCAGCCCCGACGAGACGCTGGCCAGGACCACCCCTGGGGGGGACACACAGCACTTACCCACAATGCACCTGTCCTCCCCCCCCCCCCCCCCCCCCCCACCCCCCACCCCCCCCCCCCCCCGCACAGCGCTTACCCACAATGCACCTGTCCTCCCCCCGCACAGCACTTACCCCCGATGCTCGTGGCCACGGTGGTGGAGAAGGCGACCAGCAGGAAACTGCCCCAGGCACAAAGGATGCAGAGTGCCACCCGCGGGCTGGGGGAGAGACGGGGTCAGCACGGATCCCCCACAGCCCCCCACAGCCCCCCCCGGCCCCCTACGGCCACCCCAACCCCCCACGGTCTCCCACAGCCCCCTACGGCCACCCCCGCCCGGGGGAGAGACGGGGTCAGCATGGGTCACCCACAGCCCCCCACGGGCTGGGGGGCGACAGGAGGGTCCATGTGAGGAACCAGCCACCCCCGCCCCTCACTCACCCATAGGGCACTCGGTGGATGTAGAAGGGGGCACTGAATTTGATGAGCAGAGTGGGCAGGATGTCAGCCAAGAGCACAGCCTGGGGGGGG